CTTCTCTTCTCATGAGGTGGCCAAAGTACTGGAGCCTCAGCTTCAGGATCTGTCCTTCCAGTGAGCACTCAGGGCTGATTTCCTTAAGAATGGAGAGGTTTGATCTTCTTGCAGTCCATGGGACTCTCAAGAGTCTCCTCCAGCACCATAATTCAAAAGCATCAATTCTTCGGCGATCGGCTTTCTTTATGGTCCAGCTCTCACTTCCATACATCACTACTGGGAAAACCATAGCTTTAACTATACGGACCTTTGTTGGCAAGGTGATGTCTCTACTTTTTAAGAGTGCCACCATACCCTCCAACATTTCCATGTGCGAAACCAGGATGCGTGTCTTCTGGGCTGCACTCCCATGCGAGTCACGTGACCCACAAAAGAGCATGAAGCCCAAAAATGTGCATATTTGGGTGCAGCGATCTCATGTGAGACATATGTCTGGCTGTGAGAGCACAGTGCCCCAAAACAGGATGCCCTGAACAGTTGACGAGTATGTGTCAAGGACCCCCTAGGTGGGTTACATGGGGCCTCTGGAGTCCACAGACCACCTATTGGAAACCACTGCTCTAAAATATTAATTTGTGTGATGGAATATGCACAGCTTGAGGATTTAACATATAGAATAAGAGAACAAGAAGAACATATGTTTAAAGAAGATGGGAAAATGTTTATTGAATATATGGAGGAAAATTGTGTACACTTGAAAACGTTGACAGCATTAAGATAAATTCAACAGTGTAAACAAGTTTGGGTAGATGTAATAATGGAATACTGAATGGTTTAGTTTATGTAAAATATGCAGGGATTCATGATATACAAAATGAACCATATATCTATATTGTAGTGGTCTGCAAAATTAGGAACTCTTCAGAAAACAGCAAGGGGATGTAGTGTTTAATCTCTGGTGACAAACTCTCCCCACCCTCTTTTTTCTTTTCTTTTTTTTGTAACATTTGTATACCGCTTGAGTGTAGCAAAAAATAATAATCTGAAAGCGGTTTATAGAAAAGAAAAAGAATAAAATAATCACTGAAAATATTTCAGCCATAATCAAATACATGTGAAAAGTTAAAACCACAACAGAATAGACTAAAACAAAACGCTTACAAGCTCTCTAAACATCTGGGTAGGCTTGTCTAAATAAGAATGTCTTCAGCAGGCGCCGGAAAGAATACAGCAGAGGCTCCTGCCTTAATATCAATAGGCAGGGAGTTCCAAAGTATTGGTGCCGCCACACATGGAGAAGAAAAGAAGAGCAAAATGTGATAATTTGAATCATCCCTAAATTTTAGGTCTTAAAGTATTTCATGAGAGACAGTGCCATAATTAGACTTCTGTGTGAGGTCAACGAAGAACATCACATTCCTATTACATGTCACTTTGGAAACTGGAGGCGATTATGTCCCTCATTAGATATTTGTATAGCATTTGTTGGAATGGAATCCCTCCTAGCAGACATCCACGAACACTTAGCACAACGTGACGTAAGGTTTTGGCAGCTGCCCACAAGCCTTTAATCCATCCTATGTCTATTTAGACTAACCATACAAACAAAGCAGAGGGGGAATTTGGTTTGTCATGTCACTATGAAACAAATGTTTGCAAGAACTTGTCTACTCCATATTAGATATATTCTCCCCTCCACCTCCCCCCCCCCAAAAAAACCCCCCACAATTATGGGAGCTATCTTTTCCACTTGAAATGGCCCGTTATCCCTAGTTTTTTATCTGATCAGATGATGATGACCAGTCTCAATCGGTTCATCCAATCCCCACTTTTAAGTTTCGTAAGATTTATTGACTGTCAGGTTTTTGCCCCACTGATGAGTTACACAATTTCATATCGTAGCCAGGATCCAACCTGGTTTGATATATTTGTCTGTCCCATGTAGCCAAATAAGCTTCATTACCGTATTTTTCGCTCTATAAGACACACCAGACCATAAGACGCACCTAGTTTTTGGAGGGGAAAACAAGAAAAAATAATATTCTGAATCTCAGAAGCCAGAACAGCAAAAGGGATCACTGCGCAGTGATCCCTCTTGCTGTTCTGACTTCAGGGATAGCTGCGCAGCCTGTATTCGCTCCATAACACACACACACATTTCCACTTACTTTTTGGGAAGGAAAAAGTGAGTCTTATTGAGCAAAAAATACGGTATGCCTTCCCTTGTCATCCACCATGATTTGCCAAGGCATTCACCTCTCATTAGGAAAACACTGACCTAACAGACCAGGGCCTTTGACCTAGTACTCTTGAGACTTCAACTATTTCCCCATTTTAATAACCACAACTACACATACACCAAGGCACAGGGATTTTTAAAAGCAGCAAATTTGCCTTCTCGCAGAACTTGCGACGCTTCCAAGCAGAGGTTTCCTCACTTGTTTCAGTACAAAGCATTTCATATATGCAGCTGCAGAGAAGTCCCTGGACATTGAAGTGAATGAAAAATTTGATATGCATATGAGCAGGCCAGAGTCATATAGCTGGGACTTGTACTGGCACCAAGCTCTGCAAATGTTACACAGGCACTACAGAAATAATTTAAAAGGTCATGCCAAATGCTACTACTTTCTGATGTCTGCAACCATACACATTATTCCTATGACAGTGCTAGCTTGGCCCTAGTTCACAGCCAGTTGTGTGTGTGTGTGTGTGTGTGTGTGTGTGTACAGTGGAACCTCGGGTTGCGAATGTGATCCGTGCAGGAGGCACGTTCGCAACCCGCAGCGCTGAGTCTGTGCACACGCATGACGTGCTTCTGCAGATGCGCAAAGTGCGATTTAGTGTTTCTGCTCATGCACGAGCACCAAAACCCGGAAGTAACCCATTCCAGTACTTCTGGGTTTTGGCGCATCCATAACCCGAAAACGCGCAGCCCCCAGTGATCGCAACTGTACATACTGTACATACAATTGTACAGTATTATAATTATTATAATATTATAATAATCATCATCATAAGGGACACGGGTGGTGCTGTGGTCTAAACCACTGAGCCTCTTGGGCTTGCCGATTGGAAGGTCGGTGGTTCGAATCCCCGCAACGGGGTGAGCTCCCGTTGCTCTGTCTCAGCTCCTGTCAACCTAGCAGTTCGAAAGCACACCAGTGCAAGTAGATAAGTAGGTACTGCAGCAGGAAGGTAAATAGTGTTTCTGTGCATTCTGGTTTCTGTCACGGCATTCCGCTACACCAGAAGCAGTTTAGTCATGCTGGCCACATGACCCAGAAAGCTCTCTGTGGACAAACACCGGCTTCCTCAGCCTGAAAGCGAGATGAGCGCTGCAACCCCATAGTCGCCTTTGACTGGACTTAACTGTCCAGGGGTCCTTTACCTTTACCTATAATTATTATGCATTTAATTGCTGATTTTATGCTCTCAGCTAAGGCTATTTGTGAAACTCCCATGTCACCAGCAATCAGCATTTTCTCTCTCTTTCTCTCTTTTTTGTAATGATATTTTATTCTTTTTTTCCCATATAGAAAGTTACATTTGTTACTCAACCAGCATTCTCATCCTTCTGCATGCTATACAGAGCTCAGACAGTCCAATTTTTGCCTGGCTTAAAACCCCTTAAAAAGGGAAAAATTCCTGTGGTTTTAAACAGCAGTATCTTTCTTTTCATTATAAAGAAATATTGTTCTTGACAAGCCCTTTATTTTCATGCCTAATTATGAGTATCAATCCTGCTCTCTGGAGACAAACGCTTGAATCGTAGGATGCTTCTGACCAGTGTGCTAACAGAGATTTAATTTTGTGTGTGTGTGTGTGTGTGTGTGCCATAATACTGTTGTAGAATCAAGAATCATCCTCAGAGTATTCTGAACCTCAGAGCTTTGTAGTCACGTCTTGTACACAGACATAATCCTTCTTTTCTTTTTCATCGTCTGATGAAGGTAATTCCACTTGCATTCTCTCCCATCAATTCATAGAATAAATCCTCCATCAGAAATTAAAGTGGTAGGGATCTAAACAATGCTGGAGCAAAACCAGAAGAATATGCCTCAGCTGCCTCACAAAAGCAGATGCTCCTTTCCAGTCATGCAAGACACCTAAAACCTAAGGAAAAATAGAGGAACTTTGGAAGCTGTCTTACGCCGAGTCAAGAAATTGGTTTGTCTGGCTCAATGTTGTATACAGTATAGACTGACTGTAGCCAAGCACTGGCTATCTATGATTGCTGCAGAATGGAGTGTGCAAATACAGCAATTAACTCCAATGGAGAAAATGACTCATGAACTATGTGTCAGGAGGAACGAACAGGAAGCAAACAAGTTTTATACTATTTGGTCATGCTTTATTTCATACGCTGCAACAGAAGAACATGTTTTCACCTGCCTGGGAGACATGAACTTCTTTGGAAGGACGCTTTGGGATGGTGTTTATATTTTCCTATTGTTCGACATAACAATAACAATAATAATTACTCCACCCATCTAGCTGGGTTTCCCCAGACACTCTGGACAGCTTAAAGGTAAAGGTAAAGGGACCCCTGACCATTAGGTCCAGTCGTAACCGACTCTGGGGTTGCGGCGCTCATCTCGCTCTATGGGCCAAGGGAGCCAGTGTTTGTCCACAGACAGCTTCCGGGTCATGTGGCCAGCATGACTAAGCCGCTTCTGGCGAATCAGAGCAGCGCACAGAAACGCCGTTTACCTTCCCGCCGGAGCAGTACCTATTTATCTACTTGCACTTTGACGTGTTTTCGAACTGCTAGGTTGGCAGGAGCTGGGACCAAGCAACGGGAGCTCACCCCGTCACAGGGATTCGAACCGCCGACCTTCTGATCGGCAAGTCCTAGGCTCTGTGGTTTAACCCACAGCGCCACCTGCGTCCCCCCTGGACAGCTTACAGCATATATAAAAACATAGTAAAACATCAAACATAAAAAACTTCCCGATACATGGCTGCCTTCAGAAATCTTCTAAAAGTTGTGTAGTTCTTTATCTCCTTGAGATGATGATGGGGGATGTTGTTCTTACCTTGCATTTCTGTATGTCGGAAAATGAATACAGAGAGAGAGAGAGAGAGAGAGAGAGAGAGAAGACAACACTGACTAGCAGGGGCCCTTCTCTCTCTCTCTCTCTCTCTCTCTCTCTCTCTCTCCCCTTGTACATCACCAGTGGCTTAAATTGCAACCTGAATTTTGATGCTTGTCTCCCTTTTCAGAAAGAGAAGTCAGGGGAATAAATAAATAACTAGCAGACTTTTCCTAAAACAAATGGAGATTACAGCTGATTTGTTTCATCTCTCAGCAACTCTATCTGTCGATTGCTTGGCAAGTGGTATCTTATCCTCCCATTCTGGGAGTGTTAAACTTATTGTTTGTTTTTCCAGCTCTGTGTATCACAGCCAGCAAGACTACCTTAACTTTTCTTGCTCCTGGGAAATTCTCCCGGACTTTAAAAAAAAGAAAAATCATATATATTTATTTCGGTCAGACTAGGACCTAAACAAAACCTTCTGGAATTTGATGGAGACACTGGACTTCCCAGTGGCAATCTAGGAGCAAGATTAATTCCAGCAATACAATATGATGAGATTCTTAATAGCTTTCTAAACATTGATATAGAAACAATATAATTAACCTCAGGCCTGTTACTTCAAGCTTAGAAGTCATATATTGTTACCATGACCACGGCTTAGAATCAGGAAGCATGGGCTACCTCCCCCTCCCACCGTCTGGGTCCCTACCACTGAGGAATCTGAGAAGTTTCTTCATTTCTCAGTGATTCTCCTTCCTTTCCCACCTTTTATCTGTCTCGACTGTTTATTTTGCATAAGGTCTACGAGGCAGGTGATGCCTGAGCAAAATATAAACAACACAATGTGTTTATTTCACACAATGGTGTTGCTATCCAGAGAGGTTCCTGCTACTCTCCCCCAGAATAAATAAAAGCATCCTGCTTCAGTCAGAAGCTTTTCACAAGCACACACATTCACAAATAAATGAGTTGCGGTGGGATTATAAGGAGAGCCTGCTGAATCAGGCCAATGGCCCATCTAGTCTAGCAACCTGTTCTGACAGTGGCCAACCAGATGCATGTGGGAAGCCAGCAAATGGGACATGATCGCAAGAGCACCCTCCCATCCTGTGAGGCCCAGCCACTGGTTTTCAGAAGCAGACTGCTCCTGGAGGTGCAGGGAGAACATAGCCAACATGGACCATCTACATAGTCACTGATACTCACTCTGTGGATTTTTGTGGCCATCACAGCCTCCTGTGGAAGCAAATTCATAGAATTGGAGAATTCTAGAGTTGAAAGGGACCCCAAGTGTCCAACCCCCTGTGATGCAGGAATCTCAGCTAAAGCATCCATGACAGATGGCCATCCAACCTCTGCTTAAAACCCCCCAAGGAAGGAGAGTCCACCACCTCTCATGGGAGTCTGTTCCACTGTCAAACAGCTCTTGTTGTCAGAAAGTTCTTCCTGATGTTCAGCCGTAATCTCCTTTCTTACAACTTGAAGCCATTGGTCCAAGTCCTACCCTCTGGAGTAGGAGAAAGCAAGCTTGCTCCATCTTTGATGAGACAGCCCTTGAGATATTTGAAGATGGCTATCACATCTCCGCTCAGTCTCCTCTTTTCCAGGCTAAACATACCCAGCTCCTTCAAGCATGAAGAAGTGCCCTGAATCTTCCAACATTCAGCTTTAGCAAATGTTCTAGTGAGTTTTAGTGTTATGAGAGAGGGAGGAAAGCTTCTCTTCGCCCACTTTCTGCAAGCCATGCATAGCTTCTGTCATGTCTCCTCCTACCTGTTTTCTAAACCAAAAAGTCCCAAATGTCCCTTTCCTCATGGAAGAGTTTTTATTGATTGGTTGATTGAATTTATATACAATACTGCCTTATACCCAGAGATCTCAGGGCAGTTCACATAAAAGGACCACAGTATATAAAATAAAAAATTGCTCTAGCCTCTTGATCACTTTGGTTGTCCATTTCTGGACCTTCTCCAACTCCACAACATCAACAAGTATTAACATTGTGACAACTCTGGACATGCTTCCCACAGTCACAAATAAAAAGGCCAGGGATTAGAGCAGGGATGAGGAACTTGTATCCTTTCGGATGCTGCTGAACATGTAACTCCTGTCATCCCTGGCCACTGCCCATGCTAAAGGAATATGACAGAAGTTGGAGTCCAATGACATCTGGAGGGCTATAGGTTCCCCAGCACTGGACTTGGGTATTGGAAAGAGAGCAGGGAACCCTTTACTTGCTCAGAACTCACGCCTTGATTCAAATACACCATACAGGTGACCAAACAATCCAGGTGATGCGACTTCCTCATCTTAGAATCACTGGACCATTATTACCATCTTAATTAATTAAAGTTAAGAATGTCCTTCTCAATTTACAGGCACACTATGTCAGCTGGATTGAAAACAGGCATCTAACATATCAGAGGCGACTTATATTTCCCTGAACTTGGGGCTCTGTATCAAACAAGACACCCTAAACCTATCGCGATCCTGCATCTGTACCATTGTGCCTGTGGAGTGATAATGTTTAATAGGTCAGGCTCCAAAATAGTGTCTGCCATTTTAAAAATAAATGCAGACACTTTACATCTGCATTTGGAATGAAAAGGCACATTTCCCAATTTCCTTTCCGAGTTGCAGTCTTATTCCAACCTTAAAATGCCCAGACTATCTGGCCAAGCATTCCTGTGCCCACTGAATCGCAGCCCCTGGTTCTCCTGGAGATCAATCTCTACTTGGAAGGCTTAAAAACAGGAATGGAAAACCTCTGGCCCTCTTGATGTCGTGGGGGGAAAGTTCTGGTCACCCTCAGCCATGCTGGCTGGGACTGATGAGAGTTGGAGTTCAACATCTGGAGGGCCTTTAAACCAGTGAAGACCCCAGTAGCAGCTGGCAGGGTGGTATGGGCAAGGCAGTCGGGACAGTGCAGTTCCGGATCCGAAACATAAGATTGGCTCTGTCCTTGTGCCCACTTGCCTTGCCTTTCTATCTCTGGGGAACTGGCAATTTTGTGTGGCGTTGGGGAGCCAAGTCAACAATGTAGCACTACCTTCCCATCCTTGTCCTCTATCTTTTTAGGCAGTAATGTTGATGAATTTAATTTATTGCTCACACTTCAGCACAAGGTCCCAGAGTGGGCTACAACAATCGAAATAGGAGAAGTTATCAGTAGGAGCTGGGGCTGGGGCATGTGGCTTCCAAACACTACATGCTGCTGATAGTTACCAAGAAGGGGAGGAAGGTGCAGATGATGATGATGATGATGATGATTTATTTATACTCTGCCCATCTGGCTGGGTTTCCCCAGCCACTCTGGGCAGCTTACAGCATATATAAAAACATAGTAAAACATCAAATATTACAAACTTCCTGATACAGGGCTGCCTTCAGATGTTAGTTGTGCACCGGGCCAGATTTACATATAAGCTAAACAAGCTATAGTTTAGGGTCCCATTCTCTTGGGGGCCCCAAAGAAATATAAGAGAAAAACTGGATGTGCATTTCCAAAATATAAGATAAAAAAACAAATAAAATAAAACCTACATACAGCAACAGTGTTTTGTGTTGTATATGGACCTATTAGGTCCATAAATTACCATATAGCAAATATTCAACACAAAAAACAGCTACAATTTGTTGTTGGCAAAGGACAGCTGGACATATAAAGGACCCCATTACCTTCAGTAGCTGAGGGCCTCATCAAACCTAAATCCAGCCCTGCTTGTGCAGTTCTTTATCTCATTGACATCTGAAGGGACATTCCATAGGGAGGGTGCCACTACCGAGAAGACCCTCTGCTTGGTTCCCTGTAACTTCACTTCTCACAGTGAGGAAACCAGAAGAAGACCCTCGGAGCTGGACCTCAGTGTCCAGGCTGAATGATGGATAGGTGTCTTCTGAGGAGCTTATGACTTGCTACCTTTTGTGGAGAGGGATCTGCAGTGGTGAGGGGCTTCTTTGGCAGCGTGCATGAATGTGGGGGCCCTGCATGCCACCTCAAGAAATGGCACGGGCCCCTCCAAGCAGCAGCACCTCAGGACTGAAGTCATCTTTTATGCTCAAGGGCTTGTCCCAGGCCATTTCCCCTGAGTGCTTCTGTCCCCTCTTTCACAAAGACAAAATTCCCTGGGTGAATGCCTACAGAAGAGATCATCACATTTTGCAAGGCTCCCTCTGTTTAGACAAATAAGGCAGTGGCATATTAAAAGATTAAGTGGGAATGTCGTGAAGGCTTCTTTCAAAATGGGTGAATCATAGGCTGGGTAATACTGACAGTAGGCCAGGTATGGGTGTGTAGAATTAACATTAAAAGAGTATTTACACAACCTAGGGAGCTTAAGCCTCTTGAGTGATATTAAGCACTTGTAAAGAAGACACTAACAATTGTAGAATTGTGTTTTACCATCGACTTGGAATCAGAGAATAATGGCTCTCAACAGCACACACAAAATCACATGCATATAGTTCCTTGCATTTGGCATCTATATAGAACCTGCATGTTCTTCAAACAAAGCAACGTTTTCTCTGTTCCCCAGCCTCACTTTCTTTTCACCAGGTACAGTCTACAGACAATAATGACTGCAGGAAGTAATCGAGTTTCGAGGGTGAAATGTAATTGTGCAGAGTTTTCTGCATCTCAGATTTAGAACACAATGCAAGTGGTCATCTGTAAAGAGCAGAGAGGGAATTAAATGCTTCCCACATCCAGTGATTAGTGCTATAGCCCTGTTTTCATTTTTCGCCCAGAACAGACAAAGCACGTACTAAGTAAGAAGCAGGCATTGCTCATCGAATGAATATATTGATTTTCCCGCACTGTAGCCCACACTGAAGACTTCTGTTAGCATCTGAAGGGCAAGGAAGAAAATCAGTGCTTAAACGTTTCCACCTAGATCTTCATTTATTTGAATGGAACCTCCAAGCCGAACTTCACATGCTAAGTAAGGAAGTCAAACATTACTCAAACATTGGCCTTATATATTTATTGCTGCATTAGCAGCCCCTTTTAGTTATTTTTGACACATTTGGACTGCCATCCTAGTGCACATTGCAAAAAAGGGCTTATAAAGCACACCAGAAGAAACCTCTACCTTTATCTTTTTAAAAAGCACACCAGAAGAGTTGCCTATCATTCTGAACATATGACAGCCATGTATATATATGTTTTGATTTAGGGTTTTTTTCTGAAAAAGAGCACACAGTCCAAACACTTGCAAAACTGTAAAACAGTCACTTCTAAAACAACTAATGAAAAACCATATTTCCTCTGCCTTTTACCTCACTAGGTGAGGGGGAGGTATTACAGAAAGCTATACAATCCTTGTTAATCTCTACATAAACCATGTTCAAGTCAGACACCTCATCAAGGGCTTTGCATAAGGGTCAATTATACCATTAGCAGAATCAAGCATAAAATCTTGTCCTGGATTTTGCCACTTTGGGTTGGAGACATCCTTATATATCTTTGCAAGGAATGTTAAAAGATGCAGAAGACACACATTCTCAACTGGAGAAAAAGCTTGTGTGGCTGGTTCTGTTGATGGCATAAGCTGTTCTAAGTTGGATAGTCCAGAAGTAAATATAATGTCTATGGTAACTACCTATTTTTTCCACTTTTCTGTCCATCAAATGCAAAATAGAATTTCTCTGAATTCTAGAACCCAGTTTTGAAGCAGTCTTGGTGCCAAACTAGGCCCCACCTTTCACAGATATGCTATTTTGGGGTTCACATACCCCACTTGGTAATTTAATAACAACTGTTTTCCAGATGTAACTCTCACTGTATATAGTATATCTCCAGTTCCCAAGTGCTCACATGCTAGGAAGGAGACTTATTCTTTATTAGGCAATGTCTCACTGGAATATTGCCTACTGACTTCTTTAGAGTAGATTATTCTGGATTCCACTCTCATCAAACAAGTTTTCATTCTTCCATGGTAGGAAATATTTCATAAGTCATTCTGTGGGAAGTCAGATCAGCCGGGCTACAATCTGTAATAGAGTTACCAACTGTCTGTGGTTGCCCTGAGGCAGAAAGAGCTACTGATGCAGCTGGAGGTCAAAAATCAATGCAAAGGCTGTGAAAATAGTCATGCTTTCTGTTTCCATTCTGATGGATTTCTCAAACAAAATCTGGTGTCTGGACCTCAATAAATGAATGGCACAATCCAAGATTTTAGAACGGGGCATCAATCTATGGCACAGTGGTTCTATGCGCCTTCAAAAATTCACCGTTCTCTTATTTTTGCTCTGTAGTTGTACAACCGAAAGCTACTTACAACAAAGCATGTATTATAGTCAAATGCATACAGAAATGTTGACATTAGTAAAAAAACTCAAAAGGTCTATGAGAAAAACTTGCTTGCAAAAAGGTGAGTATTTTGGGCAAAATTGCATACAAAAAATGTGGTTATGAAGTAAAATGCACGTGAAAATGCAGATGAATTTCCAGGCAATCATAAAAGAAAGCAAACTGATGCAAAATCAGAAAAATTGAACTTAAGATCTGAGGGAAAGAAAGAGAAACAAAAATCAGATGAAATTGATAAATTCATCCATCAGGTCACATGTTGGTTGACAATTGCCATGGAAAATGCACTGAGTGCCGATAGATGCAATCTCCTTTCCACCTACCTACGT